TGTTTCCTATCGATTTCAATCAGTTTAGGCTAACATGCATCCCACACCACCACAATCACATCTACACTGTGTACATAGGGTTACATACATTTTATTTGAATGCATATTGGTTCCACATAGGAGCCCCACCAGCAGTGTACACAGAGAGCGATTGCACCACACTGGTTATAATTTAATGAATCCAAACAGTACGGTGGATAAAAAAAAAAGGCAACTTTCTCATTGTAATGCTTTGTAGTTCGCCCATTTAAAGGTGCTTATGAATGGTAATTTAACTTTCAAAAGAGCAGACACAAAAACTAAGAAACCTGACTTCAACCAGAGCCCATTTAACATGTTTGCACCAGGTATTTTCATGCAGCCCTGTATTTTCTGCATTTCAAAGTGCCTGGTCTGACTGATTACTGTGTAAGCCAAGGTTTGCATTTCCATGCCACCTTGTGTGACTTATCAAAAAAATGTTAAAGATATTCACACTTTTATGTATCACTTTACAGTTTGAATAAAATAAATGTAAAGTGTGTTTACATTTGCATTTGAATTTTTTAAGGTTCTTACTTTTCCACCCCCACCCCCTCTCTTTTTTCCTGCTTTTTTTTTGGGGGGGGGGGCGGCGCACCTTCAATATTCGATTTCTTTTCAAGTTTAGTCACCTATTTCCTATCTTGGTAATACATTTTCCACATCTGTAAAGTTTATTTTTGTAACTTTATTGGTTTCCCCCGGTGAGTCAGGTAGAGGAAGGGAAGTCATTACAGCTTAGTCCTCCAGCCTGCCTGCCTCCATCTACACAGCCAGGAGAAAAGTACAGAATGTCGACAGCTATCTCTCATATTTCATCAGGACGCTGTCTTCTCTGGAGACTCCATTTGTGTAGTAAACATCTTAAAAGGTTCCCTTGGCTCCCCTCTCCCTTTCTTCTCCCGCTATTTATTTATTTATTCTCTCTCTTTTTTTTTTTTTCCAGATTCAGTTCGTCTTATTTTTTAAACTGCTTGACTCCTAAAATACAGATATCACAGTTGGGCCCCATGAGTTTTTGAAAAATGAGCATATTACTTCCTACATCTCCCTTTCCTTATTTTTTGTCACAATAAATATTTCCATTTATATGCAAATTATTATCTACTGACCAAGAATGGATAAAAACTCGTCTTGTTTTCATTGTGGTGTGCAGAGCATGTGAGTGTGAAGGCGGGAAGTGTCGGGAGCTGGGAGAGCAGAGAGAGAGCAGCTCCTCATTTAAAGAGTAAATAATCTCCCATTGCATTCTATTATTTATACCCCTGGCTTGAAAGGGACTGTATTAACTTATAAGTTATAAGTAGTTAGAAGTTACTTACTTTAAACTGGGGGGGAGTAGAGAGCCGACGCTCTGCTTAGCTGACTTCCCCCCAAATTGCTGACATAATTACATGAATGTAATTTTTTATGACTCACAGAAAATCTTGGCATTTTCACTGAAGCAGATAATTAGACTTGGAATAAAGCAGGGGCGGAATAATTAATACATCAAAACTAGATGAACTTTTTCTAATTATTTTTATTTAATCTCCATTCTAATTATTGTTCTAGTCGGCTGAGCGAGATTGCCTTTCTCATTCAGGGTGTGAAATGCACCCGTAGCGCTCAATCCTCACCCAGTGAAATATCAACTAAGCGTGGAGACGGGAAATCACAGGGTGCTCACCACTCTCTTCCCCCACTCTCCTCCTCTCTGATTGAACTGTAATTTAAATTTCTCCATTGCCAACAAACAATTTACATACACCTGCCAGACTCTTATTTATTTATTTCCCCTGACTTCCTCCCCCTTCCTCCCCCTCACCTCCATCCTCTACGTCTCCAAATGTATGGCAATCAATATTTCTCCGGCTTTAAATGAGTTTGTTAATTAGCCTAATGTGGTTTGGATTGAGGTTGTGTTTCTCTTCCTATCTCTGCATTCAGGAGGAACATTTGCTTAAAATAACCAGAGGAAATAAAGTGTGTGTATCTGTGGAAAGAGTTGCTGACCACAGAGTAAATTTTCCCACTTATCTCTGGTGTCACTCTACCAAGAACCTGCCTCTGAAAAGGAATAGTACATCTGATAAGATTGCAGTTTAATGCTGATGTAAACGTAATTAACGCTCTGACACGCACACACACACACACACACACGCAGGCATACACACGCACACTCTGTAGGCACACACTCACATAGGTAGATGCACAAACAGAAATTGGGTTGTTGAATCAAACATTTAACTATAAAAAGTTTTTTTTTAAAATCCAAGCAACCAATCCTTACATGCAAACAAGCCTCTTTGCCCTCTCTTAAAAATAAAAAATAAACTAAATATTAGCCTTCATACATCACAATTACAATATTCATTTTAAAAAAGCTTTTCCACAGCAGAGTTCTTCACATAATAACTCACCAGCAGTTATTAAGACACCTCATTGAATGTAGGCCAAATTATGCAAGCATTCACATTCTCTTTATATGTGTGCAGACATTTAGCACTGGATGAATCTGATGTTCAGATTGCATAAAGGGAGACTGAGAAGGGGGTGGTGGGGGGAGGCGGCGGAGGGGAGATTAGGAACTAATGCAAGTCAGCTAAATAAAATATTTAAAAAAATAAAAACATTCATCACAAGCATGAAATTAAAATAATTCTTGCTCTCCCTCTATATCCACATTTCTTATTACAGTCTGTGTATTCACTAGATTAAAATTGCCGCTTGATTAATACACAAAACAAGATCAGATTTAATTAACATCAGATTTAATTGAGGCCCTACAATTCTTTTTCCACACTCGCAGTTCAGATAGAGACGATCGCAAGCTTCCATAATTAAACAAATGTAAATCTACCAGTGCCTTTCAAAAAAAAGAAAACAGATTGATGTGCATCCCATGCAGGCAAATCTCCCCATTTAAAACAAATATATTAAAGTTATTATTATTCCTTTATATAGATTACAATTTTAACAGAGAAATAATTTGGGAATAATTTAATTAAAGAGATAATAATGTTTGAATAAAGAGCTGAAATTCCTCTATATTCTGACCCTGTTTGAATAGATTTGATGACTGGGGTGTATTTAATTTGCCTGATTCTTCCAACATCTATTTGTGAATATCCAGACAAACCTTAATCTAGATTAACAGCCATCAGAAAAGAGAGCTCATATCCTGTTTAATGAAATCATATTTGCTCACACGCCGCCCTGAAAGCCTCTTAAAACTGCTCTATTTACATGGCTTCACATAGAGAAGCTGTAACGCCACTTTTTACACTTGAAAATTCACTGTAATTTTCATCAGCCACATCAAGACGGCAGCTTTTTTGAGCTACTGGGTTTCATTTGTGCCAGATAGAGGGTGTCAGTCTTGTTTTATTTTGTCATTTCAGTGATGTGAGGCCCAGTTTCTTATTTCTTGTTTGCGAGAGTTGATATTCTGCCTGCGTTTAGCTGTGGTATCATGATCAAACCAGATAGCATTCTGTTATCGCTGTGTTGTATTATTTCTATGGGCCAATATTTTTGGTATTATCAATGTAATCTGGAGTATCTGCTAGGTGTGTGTGTGTTTGTGTGTGTTTACCTCTGTTCTGCTTGGTGGGACTCCATGTCTAAGGCAGGATGGAGGGAACCCAAAGCAGGTCTCCAATAAGTACGTAGTGCCACCATGTGTCGGGCGGAGGACCTGCAGGTGTTTTGTGCAGAGAAGGAGGAACCTGCATGTTTGGATCTCTGCATATCCAGCCTGTTTGCATGTTTGTTGCTGAGCTGTGCGTGTCGTTTTGTGTGTGCGTTTCGGGTCAGAGGAAGGAATGCGAGATGTTGCACTTGGCAGACAAAACAAGTTTCTTATCCCCTTGATGTGAAGAAGACCTAGGATGATGTGGGCTGAGATCTTCTGCCTAGATGAAAGATGGCGCTCAGACTGACTACGTGCAAGACAAGGAGTTTTAAAAAGCTTGCTAAAAACACAATATATAAACGCAACATTTAAAGTTCAATGTTTAGATGTGGGAATACCAAGGTTGAGGATGCAGTTCATGTGCATTGTTTTTAGGTTTTCCCCCTCAACTTTGTGTGTGTGCTTGTGCGTTCTGGCGGGGCAAGCTGCCTCCTGGCGCCATGGGGATGAAGGCTTCACGCTTGGGTTGAGATTACCTGTGCGGGCGCCCTGTGTGGCTTGTTTATGAATCAGCTTTTTTGTTCTGATTTTCCCCTCCACTTCTGTCTTTTTAGGACAGGTCCCTACACCAGGGGAGGGAGGGAGGGAGGAGAGGAGGGCGTGCAGCCAGGGGGGGCTGCTGGGCGGGCGGTGGCCAGCCACACCTCGCTGTGAACCCCTCACCTGGACATGACCCGCAGGGTGTTTATAACCCCCGGTTTATCTCCATGACGATAAAGCCTCGTGCTGTGGCTGTGGAATGAAAACAGGTTGGCGGGCCAGACAGACAGGAGTCGAGGATGTAACGTAACACACACCGCCCCAACCAGCTGAGTGGCCGGGCCAGTGACCTGCATGGTCGCCTCCAGAAACGCGGAATTAAAAAGAAAAATCCCCTCTAGGATCCTCTCACACTGTTGCATATAGAGTTTTTTTTTTTAATAAACTGCTGCCTTTTTGGTGACCCCTCTTTACTAGCACCAATTTCATTTGGAGGTTTTTTTGCATTTCCTCAATTATACAATAAGAGAATGTGCTTGAAATTACTTGATCGATCTTGGTTGAGAAGAGAAGATTCAAACTCAAAACTCAAGTTACAACCCCTTACTGAAACAGCAACAGGTTTGTCATCCGGGTGTATTGTGGCTGTTGATCCCCTACCGTGGCTTTCTCCCAGCTAGTTACTAAAAAGGGGAAACTTGGAAGTATTCAGATAAGCAGGCCCGGCCCTAACCAATTTGGCGCCCTAGGCAAGATTTTGCATCGCAGTAAATTCCACTGCCAGTTATATACATACATATACTCACGCAAGAAACAGAATAACTTTGTCTTTGACATTTTCTTTTATTTTTAGAGAAACAAGTTGCTCAATCAAAACAGTTAACAAGAAAATAATAAATTAGAAATAAATAATACAAGAAATGACAGGACAGGAGGATCACTTGATGCTGTTGAAGCAGTGATGACTGTAGATGGCCCAGGATTTGCAGGAGGTGGATTTTAGATATTTCAACAGCGCATCTGAAGTGAGAAGAGGAGTAAGTGACACCGTTGGGTGTTACAGTCTAATAATAAAAGAAATGATTCCAAGAACAAAATGAAATAATAAAAATGAAAAACCTAAGAGATGCATTATTTTCACTGTACTGTACATGAATGATATACAGTGCAATTCCTTCTGATATACAAATTAGATTAGATTTAATCTTATTGTCATTACAGTGAAATGTTGATTAGCAGAATGCAAAGAAGCAGTAAACTGCAGTATAATATAACATATGGGAATGTATTAACATTAATGATGTGCACTTTAACATGGACGTAAAGTTTAACACTATAAACACACTTTAGACAATACTGAACTGTAACACAACAAACAATAAGGCTTACAACTCTAATATATAAAGGTGTATGAAAGGAAAAGCATTTGACTGACTGTTACAAGCAGAGCAAACGTTAGCTAACCAATAATAAATACAAATAAAAATGTAGACAAATGTAAACACCTGCTGAATAGATCTAATCTTTACAAATGTCCCTGAGAAATATAAGGTGGGAGTATTACTTTTTTCCATAACAGCTGTTAGGTCCCTCCATAACGTGAACTGACGGGGGGCTTAATAAAGTGTTATTATTATTTAATAGGCTTTGCTATGCAGTTAAGTTAATGCGGGTTTTTTTTTTTCATACTAAGAAATAATAGCACCAATTAGTTTTAATATAAAAATATTGAAAGTTGCACCTTTTTTTTTTCTTCCCCCATTGTGGCGCCCCCTAGATGGACGGCGCCCTTAGCATTTGCCTATACTGCCTATGCCACGGACCGGCACTGCAGATAAGTAAGGTGATTTTCTAAATTTTTCTTACTGTCCACAAATCCCATGAAAAGACAAAAACCAACAATGTGTTAGTCCTTCGCTCAGTATCCCGGTCTGTTGCACTCAAGCTGACTGGTTCCTCCTGAACTCATAAGCCTTTCAAAAACAGGTCACAAATATAAAGTTTAACTTTTTAGAAAATCATTTTCTAGAACAGCTGGTCACTGTTCAGCAAATATTACTCAAAGAGGAGTAAACAGTGCATTTGTTGGAGACTGTTTTCAGCCGTGGATTTGGGGCTCTAGTGAGTGTGACAGTGTGAGTGGGATAGACAATATTCTAGTCAGGAACATGTCACCCAATGCAACAGTGTGGCTCTGTGATGTGTTTTCAAGAGTTTTTATACAAGATTGGAGCTCTATGGCACTGAGGAATGATAAATCAGGCTTGCGATGTGCTGACTAGATTTTTTAACAGGATCAATTCATTGTTGGTTTTGGTCTTTTCATGGGATTTGTTGATAGAAAAATATAGAATATCGCCAGGTGTATCCTTTAAGTAAAAGTACTACTGTATGAAACTAATACAAGTAAAGGTACATTTCAAGAATTATCAACATGTACTACTGGTGCATAACTGGTAACTGGTGCAAGTTTAACTGCTTTTCATTCTGTTAAGTGGTTATATCTACAGCTATAGTTCACCACTGTAATATATATGTGTGCAAACTAATAAAAGTCAAATGAATGTCACAGAGTAAAAATGAATTACAATATGTGCTGGAGTAGATGTAGAAAGTATAATAATATAGGAATTCTACTATTCTAGTACAAGTACATGAAACTTAACACATTACTTTTACCGCCATTGCACCTAATTACTTTCCATCGCAGGCTGGCACCACACCACTAGTTTACTAGTCCTCAATAATATAAAAAATGCAGAACAAAACAGACTCAGACACCCTGGGTAAATCAGCAACAGATGATTTTTAAACAGTTTTATATGGTGTATATTTTCTTATAATAATAACTACCCAACCTGTTCTAACCACACCCTGATGACACACAAGCATCTCAGGACATCGAGTCACCGTGAAGCCTCAGTGTGTTTACGCAGGAGCACCACTGAGCTGGAACACTCAACTATTCCAAGCATGTGTTACATTCAAGTGTTGGGCCATTGTGCGCTGGAGAGCGGCTGTTGTTCGAGTGACTAATGTAAGAATGACACGAGCCAAGTGGGCTTAACTTGAAGTAAACGAAGTTCGCTCGACGCTCGCACACTTGGCAGCAGGAGGCGCTTCAGAATTCATCACGTTTAAATCGAGCAGGAGGAGAAACAGCAGATTGAATTGGAGGGAGTGAGCACAGGCCTTCCTCCACCGCCACCACCACCACCACCATCCGTCTCTGCCGTATCATCCATAGGCCCGATCCCAGCCGCCCCAAACCGCCGGTTCAATTACCCACCATGCCCTTGACCTTGGAGGTCAGCTTGCTTTGGAGGATGAAGCCTTAGATGTCCGCAGAGAGAAATAGAAAGTGAAAGAGAGGGGGGCGCAGGGAAGGAGGGATTGAGAGTTAGAAGGGGTGAGGTGGAGAGATGGATTGTGGGGAAGGGTGAGAGAGAGATGGAGGGCGAGGGATAGTGTGTGTGTGTGTGTGTGTGTGTGTGTGTGTGTGTGTGTGTGAGAGAGAGGGAGAGAGGAGAGAGAGGCCTCAGCCCTGCTCTCTCTTATCTCTCCAGCTTGGTGGAGTTTTAAATTATTCATTCCCTGCTGCTCCCGCCGACTTACACATCTCCATCACACGGCTGCCCGCATCCGCCCGGGGAACAGGCGGTCGCCACGGCAACCTTATCGCAGATCGCAGATTTCGGCTCCAGAAATGAAATAAAAGAGGAAATTGGCTGTATTAGCATAAGAGGAGTCAGCCCGGAGTTGAATACACACATCACCCCCCCATCCTCCCACCACCGCCGCTGCCACCGCCCCCCAAAAGCTCACAGCAACACCCCGCCCCTGCCTCCTCTCCTTATCAGCGCTGTCTGATCGCTGCTCTCCCTTTCTATATTTTTTTTTTCTAATTCCACTCCCCCACCACCTCCACCGCTGCCGCTACCACCTCGCCCTCCAACCACACACCCCATCCCTCTCCCTCCGCCGCCGTCGCTCTTTGTTCCTCCTTGTGCTTGGAGAAGAATGGGGCGAGTGGGTGGGAGAGAAAAATAGATGTGGTCTCCGTGACCTCTGACCTTTTCAGAGGGGAGTAAACAATAAGCAATAACCTGGGAGACGTGACTCTGGCAGCGCCGCAGCTATTGACTGACAGCACACTTTATTTCCTGTCCAATAGGACCTTTTCTCCTTCCTCATCATTTTATTATTGGGTGTTTTTTTTTCTCGCTCTTTCTGTCCGTCTTTCATTCTTGGTCCAGTCCGCTGGGATCTACCATCTCAATTTTTAGAGCGCTAGGCGGCGGTTTCTGACACTGACCTTAAGAAAAGAAAGGTCTGAAATATTTGTTTGGCTTTCAGGTGAATGGATGTAACTTCCAGGCAGTGTGAGGCCTCGCCAGTGTAATCACTCTTTGCAAAAAAAGGCCCAGGTCCACATTAACATCCTCCGTCAATACATAATCTCCTATGGCTATCAGCAGTCCTCCATCAATGTGAAGCAACAAAGGCCAGGGCACAATGCAAACTCTTTAGGAGACAGCCATAAATGTGTTTCCCCCCTTTAGCGCCTATTCTGCCGCCACTTAACCATTCGGTAACAAGTCGTCCCCATTCCTCCCTCCCGCTGCTCCCTCCTTCCTCACCCTTCTTTCCCTAATTGAAGTTAAACAGCTGAGAAATAGCAACCATGTCCCCCCCAGATGGTTATAAATGTCAACATACTCTCCCACTTAGACTGACACTTCCCTGGGGAAGAGTGTGTCTGCAAGTGTGTGTTTGTTATGGTAATCATCTTCCTCCCTCTCACATCTTTTGTGCAAATCAAATCAGTAGGGGGGCCAATAAGGCACAATAACGCCCACCGCGCTCGCTGGTGGCATTCTCTATTATCATCACCATCATTCTGGCAACTTAGTTAAATGTTATATTAAAGGCGGCTGTGTTTTCTCTTGGTCCCGAAAGCCCACAGATAAAAAAAAAAAAAAAAAAGCATGACTGAATCGATGAGGGATTAACAGCAGTATCCACTTTGTTCACTCACTCACTCGGCCTCCCCCTCACTTTATGATTGTCTTTTCTTTTTTGTTGATCCGAGCGTGCGGCTGCTTCAGAACTCTGAGGGTTTTTGGCGGCGATCCGATCCAACCCGGTTTTGACCCTTTCTGTCAAATCCCACGATGGGACTGTCTGTCTGTCTGTCTGAGAGCTGACCACGACATATATTTACAACCAGGGTTAAAAGTTTGGGGTGTAACTGAACAAGGTTTATAAAGACTGAAACCAGAATTTGTGCCAGTACTTTAATATGAGTTACCCCCAGAATTTTAAATCATAATTTAGACCCCAGGACTATAACATTTTAGGCAGGTTGTGAGTACAATTTTTATTTATTTTTTTACTACTCTAAATTCTTAAATGAAAGTTTCCCTTTAAAGATATCCTTGCTTGTTACTCAAAACACTGGAGTCTTCTGGATAATTTAATAATATTAGTAAAATATAATCTATATTTTGTTATGTTCATCCGTTTTTTTTTTTTTTTTTTGTCAAAGAAGCAGATATCTTTACAACAACTGATCCAACTAGGATACTCTGATGCCCATGCAAACTGAAGTGCTCCACCTGACAGTCACCTTACATTGTCTGTGCAGAAAATAAAATGGGACCTTTGCTGGCCCTGGACACCAAAAACATTTCCCACCATTTTCCAACAGGCCACCCCAAAAGTAATTCCAGTAAACCGTTTAACCCTCGTTCCAGATCAGCGCACAAGATATATTGGGTTATGCCTTCATGCCATGTTATCAGTTGACTCTTCCAGGTGAAACTAAACCAGCAAGTTCAACGGACAATAAACAAACTTGATGAATAATCTTACTTATTCAAATACAGCAGCTCTCTGTGTCTGCTAATTGGCCGTGGTATGGTTAGTATGATGCAATTTGACATGTCCTGATGAAGAAAATAACGGACTCAGTGGAGACGGCATCCCTCAGGCTTTCCTTTGGCTCTGCCGTGTCTGCTATTTTCTCACATAAATACCTCATTGTGTTTTATTATTTATATTTCCATGAGTAATGGTATGATCTGAGGGCTTATGTTATCGAAAAATCAATATCACACTCATATCCGAAGTGGACATCACTGACTGGCTTATATCCGGACTAATAACAGTCCAAAAATGGCAAACTATTATATTACTCTATCCCATAGGAACTAATCAGTTGCATAAGAATCTAATGGACTCTGTCTCAACAGACACAACACTGGATAGAAAATGTGGAGGAAGAGAATGCCGGCAAAGCTTCATCACGCTCAGACCATCCACCTCCTCATCTCCAAAACAAGCCAAAATGAACAGAAACAGGCTGGCCGTAATCGCCTGAGGGCTTACTTTGGATGGTGGTCTTCGGTTTGAATACACAGTTAGGAGATGTTTTTTGTACAACAAAAACAAAAACTACAGTAGACACCATCTAACAATCTTGTCTATTCATTTGAGTCCAAAGCTGAGCTCTTGAAGATCTCAAATTATAAAAACATTCAAATGTGTCTATTCTACCCCCTTTTTGTCCCTCCATTCATCTGTTTAATCACAAGCGCCTTAATATTGGAACAATCCTGATTGCTCCTCAAGGCACTATCTCCTGAAAGGCTTCTTTCCCTTTCGTCCTGTTTTCTAATTCCCGAAACCCTCCTCCTGTGTTTCCCCACTTCGTAGCATCGGGCCTGTTTATTCCCCAAGCTCTTAATCTGTTTTAAGTGGTGAATACTTTGGAACAGTGAAGAAAAAGGCCTTAACATGAAGACAGCCCAGGCATCCTGCACCATGCTGCTATCCTTGGTGGTCTTCTAAAGCTCCCTCTCCCTCGGTTTCTCCATGTGATTGTGCCTGGTATGGTTGGAGGCTCATCGCAGCCTACATGTGATTTC